CATGGTTCGAATTAGATTATTAGATTAGACCGCAGGGCCCGGCATGGGAATGACAGCAGCAAGATACGCGATTGTAGTGGTGGGTTATTTTCGTGTGTGTGTTTTTTTTGTTGTTGACAGATTATTCAAATGATAGAGCGAGGGGGAGAGCCGCTCAAGGAAGGTTTTTGGGAGTTCATTGGTGGGCGGGCAAACTCTGGGCTGGGGTCCACTTCAGTGAACTTCGAATTCCTTGACGATTTTTTCCTCCCTCTCCTGCTCCTCCTCTTCCTCCTCCTCCTTCTCCCCACGGAGGCGTCACTCCACTTCATCACTCGCCCAACTTGTTCCGTGTTGATGCTTCGGTAACGCCGCCGCCTAACTGGAGCATTCCGCCTTACCGCATCACGGAGCCGCTCAGCCGAAGCATCGTCCGCTCAGGAACCGCGTTATAACGGGCGCGTTGTGCGTTATAACGGGCGCGTTGTGCGTCATAACGGGCGCGTTTTGCGTTATAACGGGCGCGTTTTGCGTTATAACGGGCGCGTTTTGCGTTATAACGGGCGCGTTTTGTGTTATAAGAGCGCACGTTCCGCGAAAACGTTTCCCTAACGGGAGAACCGTGCTGTAGCGACAACGCGTTAAGCGAGGACTTACCATACGGGGGGGGGGGGGGGGGGGGTGGGGGTTCCTGCCTTCGGAATGCGAGATGTCCGGCGCCAAGCTGTAACAATAATGGAAAAAACCCCACCGAATTTGTCCGTTTCAAAACGTAAAAAAGAAAAAATCCTTAAAAACAAAAATCTTTTGACCAGAATCTCATACCTAGTCTAGACTGCGGACACACATTTCGGTTACCATGCCAATTCATGTGGGGGGGTGGGGAGGTGAGTAGAGGAGTTTGGTGGCGTAGGAGTGATGGAGGAGGAGGAGGGGGGGTACTCAGAGCAGGGGTTTACCAGATGGCTGGGCAAGGTGCCAGGTCTCACACCTGTTGTGTGGGGAGCGAGCGAGCGAGCGAGAGAGCGAGAGAGGATCGGACAGACTGAGTTGAGTGAGCGTGCCAGCGGGAGGGATTGCGTGCGCGCGTGTAGGACGGTGGGGGGAGCGGTGGTGCAGCGGTCAGGGCGCTGCGCGTAGGAAAGCCGGCGACCCGGGTTCGATTTCCCGTTCACGGCCAGCACCGGTGACGATTATTACCTGAAGCGGTCAAGGGCCTCCCCTAGGTCGGCTCAGCCTCAGATGAGTACCTGGTGCGATATGGAAATATCGCCACTAGGGAGACAAAGGCGGCCGGGCGAGGTGCTGGCCACGCACCCCCTCGTGTGCCGTGCCGGCCTTCATAGGTGCTCGCTAACAGCACTTGCCCCTACAGTCTGTTAAGGCTACACGGGGGATCTTTGTCTTGTTTGCGTGCATGTACGTGTGTGTGTGTGTGCACGCACTGGATCCCGTGGCTGGATCCCGTGGCTGGATCCCATGGCTAGATCCCATGGCTGGATCCCGTGACTGGATCCCGTGGCTTACCACCCGCCCTTCTGGACATCCGTGAAAAAAACAACCAACAGAGATTCGTAGCTCATCGGATTCCTCCGGTACAAAATAACGATTCTGATTCTGGGGTCGGTCACGCCGAGCGCTCTCCCCTCTCTCTCTCGGCGTGCGGGCTCCAAGCCACGGACTCCGAGCCGCGGCTCCCTGGAGGCCCCCTGGCTAAGCCCCCAGCGCCAGCTGTTCCCCGCAGCCGCCCGGGGCTCCCTCTCTCTTCTCCTCTCTCTCTCTCTCCGGAGAAGCGGGGGGCGGGGGGGCTGCCGCTGCCGCTATCTGTTGCTGCCCCCCACTACTACTACTACTACCCCCCCCCTAACCCCCCACCCACCCCCCCCCTTGTTCTTCCCAGGATAGACCGAACCTGTTGCGCCTACCACCCAAATTAGGTGGTGGGGGGGGGGGTGGCAGGTGGCAGAGTGACTCTCGCTCCTCGCATGATTGTGCTCCTTTGCTCGCTCGCTCTCGTTCATTCGCCCACTCTCTCTCTCTCTCTCGTTCCTTCTCACACTCTCTCGCTCACTGACCTACTCTCTCTTTTTCTTTTACGATCAGAGGAAACAAGAAGACGCTCGGTGTAGTCGGCACTTTGCTTCGTTCGTCATTTCGTTGTTTTTATTGCTTTGCTTTATGTAAACCCCCCCCCCCCCTTTTAAATGAAAGATTTAACAAAAGATTTCACGCTCTGCTCTCCTTACTCCTTCCCTCTCTCTACCCTGTCCCTCCCTACTCTCGCTCACTCACCGACTCTCTCTCTCTCTCTCTTTCGTTCCCTCTCGCTCGCTCTCCCACTCTGGCTTTCGTCCTCTCGCTCTGTCATGCTCGCTCGCTGGCTCCCTCTCTCGCCTTGGAAGGCCCCACCGACTTGGTTATCACAAATGATAGCTCACCGAAGTGGCTCATATTATGTGGACATTTATATCGGCCGGACACCGGAGACGCTTGTTGATTCCACGGGGAGAACGTGCACACTTCAAATATACTGCAGGGGTCAGGGTCGGGATCGAAGCCACGACCTCCTGTAGACCAGGCGAGGTAGTTAACATCTCCTAGCCACCGTGATAATCATGATGTGATAGAGAGACGCAGACTCCAAATATACAGCAGGCGTCAGGGTCGGGATCGAAGCCACGACCTCCTGTATACCAGGCGAGGTAGTTAACATCTCCTAGCCACCGTGATAATGATGATGTGATGGAGAGAGACGCAGACTCCAAATATACAGCAGGCGTCAGGGTCGGGATCGAAGCCACTACCTCCTGTAGACCAGGCGAGGTAGTTAACATCTCCTAGCCACTGTGATAATGATGATGTGATAGAGAGACGCAGACTCCAAATATACAGCAAGCGTCAGGGTCGGGATCGAAGCCACAACCTCCTGTAGCCAGGCGAGGTAGTTAACATCTCCTAGCCACCGTGATAATGATGATGCGATGCAGAGAGACGCAGACTCCAAATATACAGCAGGCGTCAGAGTCGGGATCGAAGCCACGACCTCCTGTAGACCAGGCGAGGTAGTTAACATCTCCCTAGTCACCGTGGCACCCCCATCCATGCCCCCCCCCCACCCGCCCCCCTGGCCCCCCTTGCTCCAAGTGTATGTACGTATGTATGTTGAACTTCTTTCGCACCCTACGTAGCCAACCGTGCCCATCGGAGGTGTCTGTGTGTCTGTGTGTGTGCGGATCCGTGGCGCAAACCCAGCGACCCGGCTTCGATTCGCGCTCACGGCCAACACTCCGTTGACGATCATCCGAAGCCGGTCCCTTGGGCCTCTAGCGAGTGGCTTGGTGCTGTGCGCGTGTGCAGACATCGCCGCTGTGCGGGGTTACGAAGGCGGACCGGGGCGTCGTGTGCCGTGCCGGCCTTCGTAGGCGCTGGAATGGAGCAATAAAAGTCGTACGCCCGACAAAATCACCGATCAGAGAGTTTCCCACTCCCCAAATATATAGAAGAACCACCCACATCTTCTTTGGTTCTTTCGGTAAGGTCACGTAGAATGAAACGTCGTGAGAATTTTATTGTGTTATTTTATTATTTTATTCTCATTCTACGTGACCTTACCGAAAGAACCAAAGAAGATGAATCCTTGCAGTCACGAAAGCTTTAAATCGAAATTTAACCACCCACATGTCTAGAACCCATAACTGTCAACTCGTACGGTTTACCCCATGTTCTTGTGCAGGGAAATTCTGGTCCATACGGCGTACAGCCGTTTCAATACGGGCACAAATAAATCTGTTTGTATTTCTCCCTTGTGATGGGACTTTGTAGGATGAACGTTGAGATTTATAAGGGGCACGGGGTGATCAATAAGGTCTGAATTGGTCTGTAATACGGTAGGTCTGTAATACTGAATTGGTCTGTAATACTGTAATACACAGATATGGGGTTGACAGGTATTGGAACACCCCCCCATATATGGAAACACCCCCATATATGGAAGAAAGTAGGCGTGACGTTGGTCGAAGGGGGGCGTGTCTTTGCCCATATATGGGCGACGTGGATCGTTAATCGATATGAATTGCGATCAGGACGATCCATGATAAACAAGCGTTAAAAATACCGGAGTTAATCGTGATTTGCGGGCTAATCGCTGTGTCGATTCGTCGCCAGTCGATCCACGGATCGAGTAACGATGAGACACGCCCCCTTCATTTGGTTGGCTAATATCGTCGGCATGAACGGCGATTCGATCTCAGTCCGCATTCATTGTATGCGTGCATACATTCAGTGCCGGATGAAGGTAGTGTGGGGCCTGTAGCATGATGTTATAAAGGGGCCCTATTTTTTTTTTGTTTAAACACCTAAATATTAAAAAACACTTTTTTTTTTACTCGCACAGTAAAGTAATTGTATTTTTTCATTTGCTATACGGCCAGAAAATACGACAAATCGCTAACCTTAAACACCCGGTTGTTCGTAAAAGTCGAAGGCGGTACAGTACTTTAGTGATAGATCAAGTGCGGAATCACCGAACCTGAATTGACAGCTTGAGAGCATTTAGCGCGGGGCCCCTTGAAAGTGCGGGGCCCGTAGCTACTACACGTGTAGCCACTTTTGCTCCTGCGTACATCACGTGCACGTTGAACTTTCCTTCGCACCGTACGTGGCCAACCGTGCTAATCGGAGGTGCGGGAGACAGACGACAAACTAAGCACACGCGCAAAAAAAAGGCAGTGCCACAGAAATTGAGTTCGTCGACGGAGGTGACGAGTCACAGCTCCCCAGTGGCTTCCTAGCAGCGGCAAGGAGAGAGCGTTCCAGACGGCCGCGGGAGCGCACCTTGAAAGCGCCGCGCGATGCGCTGACCGCACAGCTGAAATTCGCCGCTGCTCGCGAAGGTGACCCGAGTTTATGAGCCCCTTTGACGAGAGCAACATTCGCCCCATGAGAGTCTGTCAAGGCTGTACGGCGGCATTCGTTTTTGTTTTAATTTTCAAATGTGCGTGTTTGTTTTCTTTGGCGAGCAGAGAGCTTCGGCAGGGCGAGCAGCAGCAGCATGCCAGACTCGCCGGTGGAAGTGAAGGTTGCAGCCCGCTCCAGCGCCACACCTCCAGCCATGCCTCCACCTCCTGCCTCGGTCGCGCAGGGAGCCCCGCGAGCCAGCACCTACACGCCCACCGCCAGTACGTGCGGCGCGCACGCGCGCACCTACACGCCCACGTGCAGCGCGCACACGCGCACCTACACGCCCACGTGCGGCGCGCACCTACACGCCCACGTGCTGTGCACACGCGCGTACCTACACTCCCACGTGCTGCGCGCACGCGCGCACCTACACGCCCACGTGCTGCGCGCACCTACACGCCCACGTGCAACACGCACGCGCGCACCTACACGTCCAGGTGCAACACGCACGCGCGCACTACACGCCCACGTGCAGCGCGCACGCGCGCACCTACACGCCCACCGCCAGTACGTGCAGTTGACACGCGCGCACAAGGAGGGGTAGGGGGGGGTGCTTCTCGTCGTTCCGCGGTGGAGGTGAGAGCAGAGCCGTCCCTAGGGTAGACGGCGAATCGGGGCGACAGCCCGAGGCCCCGCGCTTGTGGGAAGAGGTGGGGGGGGGATCGCGTGTTCGACGTCATGGCGTCATCAGATGCAATGCTTCCGATTTAGTTTGAAGGCGACGGGAGGGAGGGGGTCAGCACGCAGTGTAGCTTGCCCTGGGCCACGCACCGCCCGGTCCCTGTGGGTGACCCTTTAACGACGGTGTCACGAGAGAGAGGCAAAGGAGAGAGCAAGAGAGAGGGAGAGAAGAAATGAGAGCGTCATCTCTGATGGACATTGACATCTGTGGTCCGCGGTGGTGCGCGTGAGTTCGCGGGTATTTTTCGCGCGTGTGTGCGCCTGTGTCAGTCTGCGCGTGTGTCCGCGTGTGTCCGCGTGTGTGGGGAGCGGAGGCGCAGCGGTTAGCGCCCTGCGCTACGAACATCGCGAGTCCCGGGTTCGAATCCCGCTCACGGCCAACATCGGTGACGATTATCTGAACCGGTCCTGGGCCTCCCCTAGGTCGAGTCAAGTGATTACCTGGCGCGGTGCGTAAAAACATCGCCACTAGGGAGACAAAGGCGGCCGGGCGTGGTGCTGGCCACCCATCCCCTCGCGTGCCCGCGAACGGCACTTACCCCAACAGTCTGTTACAGGCGATGCAGGGGATCTTTGCGTGGGGAGCAGAGGCGCAGCGGTTAGCGCGCTGCGTGACGAACTCCGGCGGACCCAAGTTCGATTCCCGGCCACGGCCACCATTCACCGGTTCACGATCATCATCTGATCCGGTCCTGCGCCCACCTCGGGGTCGACTCAGGGGCTTTAAATGAGCACCCGCTTATGGTGCGTGTTAAACATCAGCAGTTGGGGAGACAAAGGCGGTCGGGCGCGGTTCTGGCCAACCATCCCCGTCGCGCGCAGTGCCGGCCTTCATGGGCGACGGCAGCACTCCGCGAACGGCACTTGCCCCGAATAATCCGTTGAGGCTACACGGGGGATCTTTGTCTGTGCAATGCATGTATAAATAAGCAAGCGAGTACCCATAGAGCCATCAGAGGGCGGGCGACACGGGACGGGGCTGGCTCGGTGATAGCGGTCGTATTTGCAGAACACGCGCACACTTTTTAGGGCAAGCCACGATTCCAGTTCTAAATTTAAATGCCACCACGACCACTACAAACCAGCCACCCACCCACTAGCCAGCCACCACCAACCAGCCACCACCTAACCCAAACCAACCACCCACCAATCATCACTCACCACCAACCAGCACCCACCACCAACCCGCCACCATCAACCATCATCCACCACCCACCAACAACCACCACCCACCCATCACCCACTACCAACCATCGCCGTCACATCCCAAGACGTAACGAGTAACAAGAACAACAACAACAATAATGTCAACAACCTATAACGCCGAGCCGCCCCTGCACTACGAACCCGGCGACCCGAGTTCGATTCCCGCTCACGTCTGCCAACATCCAAACCGGTCCTGGGCCTCCCATGGGTAGACTCAAGCCTCAAATGAGTACCTGGTGCGGCGTGTAAACATCGCCAACTGGGGAGACAAAGGCGGCCGGGCGTGGTTGCTAGCCACCCACCTCCTCGTGTGCCGTTCCGGCCTTCATAGATGCTGCTCGCTAACAGTACTTGTCCCAACCGTCTGCTATGAGGCTATATGGGGGATCTTTGTCTTTGTGTGTGTGGGGGGGGAGGGGTTGAGGGAAGGTGGTGGTGGTAGTGGGGACGACAGTGATTGCGTCTCGCTGAGCCCGATGACAGCAGCAAGGCAGGTGGCAGGCCGCTGCGGTGAAAGGAATGAGCGATGCAGAGGGGAGAGGCCGAGAGAGAGAGGCGAGAGCGTGGGGGTGGGTGGAGCGGTAGGGGAGAGGGGCAGACAGGCTGGGTGGCAGAGAGAAGGAGAGCGAAACGAGAGAGAGATAATCAGAATCTTTCAGACTGCAGGAGGAGGAATCCGATGAGCTATGAAGCTCTTTGTCACATGCCCAGTGTGGGCACGGGGGTCAGCGAACAAGACACAAAATAAACGATAGGAGTGCAAAATAGAGCGTCAGGTAAGCGAGTCACCAATTATAAATTAATGATAAACGACTTCATTTTATACGTCAGATTTGTCAAGCTTGGGCAAGGCCGAAAGAAAAAAAACAGTCCCAGACCATTTTTTTATTTAGTAGTATTTAGTAGTATTAACAACAACAACTATAACAACTATAGTAGTAGTAACAACAACTATAGTAGTATATTCTTGGTTCTTTCGGTAAAATCACGTAGAAGGGAAACAATAAAATCATACAAATATAAAACAATAATTTCTTTTTTTCGATTTAAAGCTTTCGTGACTGCAGGGATTCATCTTATTGGTTCTTTCGGTAAAGTCACGTAGAAGGGAAAAAATATAATAATGAAAATAAAACACAATAAAATAAAATTCTCACAACGTTTCGGCCACAACCATTGGAGCGGTCTTTCCGACAGTTCTGTTTCTTCACCTGAGGACGGCTGCTTGTGTTGTGGCCGAAACGTCGTGAGAATTTTATTGTGTTTTATTTTTATTATTTTATTGTTTCCCTTCTACGTGACTTTACCGAAAGAACCAAAAATATGAGTCCCAGACCATACCAAGATAAACTATTTAAAAATCCTATTTTTATTTCACCGGTAAGGCTGTGTAGCTCTTTTTTTCAAAAGCGACCTGGCTATCACGAATGATAGCTCAACGAAGTGACCTCGTCGTTGAGGAAATGCATTGCGTCCAAACACTCTGAACGCGTGACGTTGATTCTAAATGTGGACGAAAGAAACGGAGGACCCCTAGAAAAATCCACGCGACTACGGGGAGAGACACACGCAGAATCCAAATATACAGCGGGCATCGTCAGGGGTCGGGATCGAACCCAGGACCTCCTCCTCCTCCTGTATATTAGACGAGGTAGTTAACATCTAGCAACCGTGGCGATGCCTCCTCTGTCCGTCACTCGAGGCCCCATCGCCACCCTCATACGATGACGCAATGCCCCGATCCACAAACATTAAGGAGACATCGCAGCGATTCACTCCGCCAGCCCTGACGCTTGACCACCTGAACGTGACACTGCAGTGGTAGCGCTGCATCTACATCAGCCACACGAAAGAAGATTAAGTGTCCACCACGGGCAGTGTCCACCACGGGCAGTGTCCACCACGGGCAGTGTCCACCCTGAGCAGTGTCCACCACGGGCAGTGTCCACAACGGGGCAAGTTCCACCATGAACAGTGTCCACCACGGGCAGTGTCCACCATGGACAGTGTCCTCCACGGGGAGTGTCCACCATGACCAGTGTCCACCACGGGCAGTGTCCACCACGGGCAGTGTCCACCATGGGCAGTGTCCTCCACGGGGAGTGTCCACCATGACCAGTGTCCACCACGGGCAGTGTCCACCACGGGCAGTGTCCACCATGAACAGTGTCCACCACTGGCAGTGTCCACCATGGGCAGTGTCCTCCACGGGGAGTGTCCAACCATGAGCAGTGTCCACCACGGGCAGTGTCCACCTCGAGCAGTGTCCACCACGGGGAGTGTCCAACCATGAGAAGTGTCCACCATAAGCAGTGTCCACCATGGGCAGTGTCCTCCACGGGGAGTGTCCAACCATGAGCAGTGTCCACCACGGGCAGTGTCCACCACGGGCAGTGTTCACCATGAGCAGTGTCCACCACGGGCAGTGTCTACCACGGGGAGTGTCCACCTCGAGCAGAGTCCACCACGGGCAGTGTCCAACCATGAGCAGTGTCCACCATGAGCAGTGTCCACCACGGGCAGTGTCCACCACGGGCAGTGCCCACCACGACCTCCTGCGTACCAGGCGAGGTCGTTTACATCCCGGCCACGGTGACGCCCCTACACGAACACGCAGTGCGCCCTCACTCGAATGGCATTGACATTTGCAGCAGCAACAACAGAAATACCATACTCTTTGGTTCTTTCGCTAAAGTCACGTGGGTATAAAATCAAATGAATCACGACGTTTCGATCGCAACACAAGCGGTCGAAACGTCGTGATTTTATTTGATTTTATTTTCTACCTACGTGACTTTTACCGGAAAAAACCAAAGAGTATGGATTCCTGCAGTCACAAAAGCTTCAAATCAAAACGACAGAAATGTTTCCGACAAAAGAGATCTCGATAAAGAATTAAAGCTTTCGTGACTGCATAAATGACTCATTGGTTTTTCCGGTAAAGTCACGTATGGAGAAATACCATCATAATTATATGAAAATAAATCAATCACGACGTTTCGGCCGCAACACTTGCCGTGATTGATTTATTTCAATATAACTTAATGGTATTTCCACACACGCGACTTCATCGAAAAAAAACCAATGAGCAATTTAGTCCCGTGTGTGGAAATACCATGAAGTTATGTCGAAATAAATCAATCACGGCAAGTGTCTAACTGTGCTGTTGGCCTGACTGGTTTTGCATCACGTAATTTTTTCTTAGGTTTGTCGAATTCTCGTCTCTCATCTTCTCGTTGTGTTTACCTCCGTGCAGTTTGGCGCTCTCTCTACGTGTTGCGTTGGTGTCGCCCTGTGTGCTCCCTCGCTATTTGTTTTTTTTTTTACACCTGATGAAGATCGCTTGTGTTGCGGTCGAAACGTCGTGAGTGATTGATTTATTTTAATATAATTTTATGGTATTTCTACATACGTGACTTTACCGGAAAACCCAATGAGTAAAAGAGGCGAGCGGTGGGAATTCCGCGTTACTGTGACGGTGGCCAGTCCATCCGCACAAGCACCTGGGTTGGCTCCACGAATCCACGGCGATGCTCTGTCCGTCTCGCTCCGTCTCTTTCTCTCTCACCCCCTCCCCGTCTCAGAATGGTGTGAATGTTGAAACTCACAACAACAACAACAACATCAACAACAACAAATCAGTGTGTTCACGCGAAACCCACGGCAGAACTTACTGCACACGGGTTCCACACGGGTCAACCATAGGGTCCCGCACGGGTCAACCATAGGGTCCCGCACGGGTCCCGCACGGGTCACACACGGGTCCCACAGGGATCCTACAGGGGTCCTACAGGGGTCCTACAGGGGTCCTACACGTTCCCCACACGAGTCCCGCACGGGTCCCACACGGGCCCCACAGGGGTCCCACAGGGGTCCCACAGGGATCCTACAGGGGTCCTACAGGGGTCCTACAGGGGTCCTACACGTTCCCCACACGAGTCCCGCACGGGTCCCACACGGGCCCCACAGGGGTCCCACAGGGGTCCCACAGGGATCCTACAGGGGTCCTACAGGGGTCCAACACGTTCCCCACACGAGTCCCACAGGGGTCCCACACGGGTCCTACATAGGGTCCCACAGGGGTCCCACACGGGTCCCACAGGGGTCCCACACGAGTCCCACACGGGTCCCACAGGGGTCCTACAGGGGTCCTCCACGTTCTACACACGGGTCCCACACGGGTCCCACTGGAGTCCCACACGGGTCCCACGCGGGTCCCATAGGGGTCCTACAGGGATCCCACAGGGGTCCCACACGGGTCCCACAGGGGTCCCACAGGGGTCCCATAGGGGTCCTACAGGGATCCCACAGGGTCCCACACGGGTCCCACAGGGTCCCACAGGGGTCCCAAAGGGGTCCCACACGGGTCCCACACGGGTCCCACAGGGGTCCCACAGGGGTCCCAAAGGGGTCCCACACGGGTCCCATAGGGGTCCCACACGGGTCCCACAGGGATCCTACAGGGGTCCTCCAAGCTCACGCGGTCGCTCCCGCCCCCCGTGTTGGCGCAGTGATCAACGGTGGCTCCAGCCACTCGCCCACCGCTGCCTCCATCGGAGGGTCGCCCTCGTCCCCTCCGCACGGCTACCACGGACCCTCGCCCTCGCCCTCGTCTGGGTCCTCTTCCTCCTCTTCCTCGCTGTCTTCGTCGTCGTCATCGTCGTCGTCTGCGTCTGCGCTCTCCTTGTCCGCCGCGTCAACGCTCGGGCAGCAGCAGCAGCACCACCAGTCACAGCATCACCACCATCACCACCACCACCACAACCAGAGCAACCAACAGCAGCATCATCATCATCAGCAGCAGCATCATCAGCAGCAGCAGCAGCAGCATCATCAGCAGCCGGTACCGGCGGCTTGCGGAGCCAGGCAGCTGAGCAAGCTCAAGAGATTCCTGGCGACGCTGCAGCAGTTCGGCTCCGACATCTCGCCCGAGATCGGAGAGCGAGTGCGAGGTTTGGTCCTCGGACTCGTGGTGAGTCTCTCCGCGCGCGTGTGTATGTGTACACACGTGTGTGTGTGTACACGCGTGTATGTGTGTATGCACGCGTGTGTGTGTGTGTGCACACATGTGTGTGTACACGCGTGTGTGTGTGTACGCGCGCGCGTGTGTGTGTTTACACGCGTGTGTGTGTGTACACGCGTGTGTGTACGCGCGCGTGTGTGTGCTTACACGCGCGTGTGTGTGTGTACGCGCGTGTGTGTGTACGCGCGCGCGCGTGTGTGTGTGTACACACGTGTGTGTGCATATACGTGAGTCCGCGAGTGTTCCGCGTGAGTCCGTGTGACTGTCCGCATGAGCGTCCGTGGGTGTCGGCGTGAGAGTCAGCGCGAGTCCATGTGAGTCCATGTGAGTCCGTGAGTGTCGCCGTGAGTCCGTGTGAGAGTCCGCGTGAGTCCGCGACTCTCGTGTCCGTGAGTCCCGGCCGCTGACGCTGTGGGCCGCCTTCTCCCTTGCAGAACTCGAGCGTGACCATCGAGGAGTTCCACTCCAAGCTGCAGGAGGCCACCAATTTCCCCCTGCGGCCTTTTGTCATTCCCTTCCTGAAGGTAACGCGGACGGGGGTGCGGTCCGGGCAGAGAGGGGGTTGGGGTCTAGGAGGGCACCAAGCTAAAGCTCAGCGTTTCAAGCAGCTCAAGACGAGGAGCACAGATCCAATGGGGGGGGGGGGGGGAAGGAAATATCAGCTTTGACATCCTCCCGAACATAAGAAAAGGACCGACTTATCACGATGAAGTGAATGAGCGTATCTCATCTCGCTGCATCGCTCGCCTCTTGCCTGCGTGTCTCTCTCTCTCTCGTCTCGCTGCGTCTCTTATCTCTTCCCTTCATCCCTTGGGTCATCCTCGCGGCGAGGAGTTTATACATCACAAGGAGGGGGCGTGGGGTTGGCGTGGGGACGCAGGCAGCATAAATCATTCTGTGCACCCCCTCCCCTCTCCCTACCGCGCCGAGGTGTGTGATGATGCATCATCATCGTCGTCGTCGTCATCGTCGTCATCATCGTCGTCGTCATCCTCGTCATCATCGTCGTCGTCACCGTCATCATCGCCATCGTCGTCATCATCGTCATCAGCAGCAGCAGCATCGTCGTGATCGTCATCATCTTCATTATTGTCATCATCGTCGTGATCGTCGTCATCAGAATCGGAATGCATGATAGAGGTTTTTTTGGGGTTAGATCGCGTGGATATATAAATGTGTCGTTAAACCCGCCACCACCCGGCACAGGCAACTAGTTAAGGGTTGTCGCGTAAACAGAACGTGGCCAATTCGTCACTAGTACAGCACTAGTGTCTAGTGTATAGTGTAGTGTATAGTGTAGTGTATAGTGTAGTATACTAGTACAGCACTAGTGTGTAGTGTATAGTGTAGTGTATAGTGTAGTATACCAGTACACCACTAGTGTGTAGTGTATAGTGTAGTGTATAGTGTAGTATACTAGTACAGCACTAGTGTGTATAGTGTAGTGTATAGTGTAGTATACTAGTACAGCACTAGTGTGTAGTGTATAGTGTAGTGTATAGTGTAGTATACCAGTACAGCACTAGTGTGTAGTGTATAGTGTAGTATACTAGTACAGCACTAGTGTGTATAGTGTAGTGTATAGTGTAGTGTATAGTGTAGTATACTAGTACAGCACTAGTGTGTAGTGTATAGTGTAGTATACTAGTACAGCACTAATGTGTAGTGTATAGTGTAGTGTATAGTAGTGTATAGTGTAGTATACTAGTACACTACTAGTGTGTAGTGTATAGTGTAGTGTAGTATACTAGTAGAGCACTAGTGTGTAGTGTATAGTGTAGTGTATAGTAGTGTATAGTGTAGTATACTAGTACAGCACACCGGTGTGTTGGAGAGCCAAGCCACAACATTTGCAATCTGAGTACGACGTTTCGCCAGTAATTACAACCAGCTTCATCAGGCAACAGCCAGATTTGTGGAATCGATATATTTGTTTATACCGCAGGAGGAATCCGATGAGCCACAAAGCTCTTTTTTGTCACAGACGTCCTGTCGGGCACAGGTCAGAACGTCACAACATCAAATAACATTAAAAAAAACACAACACGATGGGAGTGCAAATTATAATCAATGTAAACAAATCACGTAAATATGTATGTACAAATACAACTAAACTAATCTTTCTTTTAATCTTACTAGGTAAGGCCCATGATGATGGCCTTCTCGTTCCGAACGGCGGGTAGTATTCGTATATACATATATTCTTTCTATGGCTAACTCAAGCGCAGCTAATTAACCGGGGCTGCCCGCCGGATTCGAACCGCGAAGCTCTGCAAACAAAAAGGGCGAACGCCCCCTGCGACTAGGGCCCTGTCAGCATGACCACTGCAAGCAGCAGCATGAGGATAATGGCAGCTATCATCGCGGTTATCAGCAGCGTCGACATGCTGCTCGAGCAACCTCGAATTACAGAGTCCAGCCTTTCGTCAACTGTGCCCAGCTGCAGAGACAAAGATCCCCCAGGTGGAGCCTTTAACAGACCCTTGGGGCAAGTGCCGTTACCTTTGCCGACCTCGTCGAGGCTGGCATAAAGCCCTCTCACCACGCGAACTCCGCTCATCCTCGCTGGGCCACCGTCACCGCTACGACAAGTCACGCGTCCTCCTGCGTGGCTTCTGCAAGAGGTTGATCCCGGCCTTTCAGAGCCACGTCGTGGGGTTCTACCCAAGACCCCCACGGCTCGCCCACAGAATGATCCGCGGTACATGAACCATCGTCACGAGGACTCCGCTCATCATCAGCAGCAGCAGCCAGCGGTGGTCGCCGCGCCATCGCGCGGCGCTTTCAGATGCGCTAATGCGGCCGTCTGGAAAGTGCTGTTCGCGAGTAGCACCTACGCAGTGGCACACGAGAGGGCGGGTGGCGGACAGCCTGCACGCCCGGCCGCCTTTGTCTCCCCAGCGCTGACGTTTTACGCACACACCGCTGGGTCGACCTAGGAGAAGCACAAAGACAAATACAAAGATCCCCCGTGTAGCCTTCACAGACTGTAGGGGCAAGTGCTGTTAGCGAGCACCTATAAAGGCCGGCACGGCACACGAACGGGTGGGTGGCCAACACCACGCCCGGCCGCCTTTGTCTCCCCAGTGGCGATGTTTACACATCGCACCAGGTACTCATTTGAGGCTGAGTCGACCTAGTGGAGGCCCAGGAGCGGTTCAGATAAATCGTCACCGGTGTTGGCCGTGAGTGGGAATCGAACCCGGGTCGCCAGGTTCGTAGCGCAGCGCGCAGCGCTAAACCCCTACACCACCGCTCCCCGCACACACCCACGTGCAAATTCAAAGATCACCCCTCCCCCACCCCTCCCTATTGGTCTTTCATCCAGCAGTGGATCGACCACAGCTGAAGGTGTTGATGACGTCACACACTATGCCCGGGCTGCTGGCACGGGCATCTGGGCGCAGCTGTCCCGAGCCGCGTGTTTTTGTTTATTACGAAGCGGTAGGGAGAAAGGGGGGGGGGGAGCTGTGACGGGTGGGGGGGGGGGGGGGGGGCTGGGGGGGGGGGGGGGGGGGGGGGGGGGGGTGGGGGGGTGTGGGTATTTGTTTATGTTTATTTCTCAAATTCCAAGAACTGCAAGGAAAACATCTGCCCCTGCTGTAGTCTCCTGCGGTCCTCTGCACGCGCGCGTGTGCGCGTGCTGTGGGGAGGCTATACGCGGGGATCTTTGTCTCTGGGGAGCGGTTAGCGGTGCAGCGCGCTGCAAAGCCACGTCGCGACCCGAGTTCGATGCCCGCTCGCGGCCAACGCCGGTGAAGAAATGCCCGAACCGGCCCTGTGCCTGAACCACCCCCCTCCCAACATCCCCACCCCTAGGTCGACTCAGCCTCAATTGAATACCTGGCGCGGTGTGTCAAAACGTCGCCACTTGGGCGTGGGAAAACAAAGGCGGTCGGTGGGGGACGCGGTGCTGGCCACCCACACGCTCGTGCGCCGCGCCGCCCTCGCAAACGGCACTTGCCCCGACAGCCTGTTGAAGGCTATACGGGGGACCTTTGTCTGTGCGCGCACGCGCGCACGCGCGCCTCTCCAGATTTCGTTCTCAAGCTGCGAACCGCCGTGGTTCTGCTCGCGCTGTGCGGCAGATGCTGGTTATTTTGTTATTTATTTTTGTTGTTTTTCATATTTAAATAGTGATTCGCTTAGTTTTTAAATAAATAATGACCGCTTATTATTTGAGGCAGGTGAGGCCTGCTGAGCTCCATAGCCCTTTGTCAGAAGCGACCTGGCTATTACTCAAATGACGGCAGCCCCGCAAAGTGGCGGATCATCATCATCATCGTCGTCGTCGCGTGGACATTTATAGCAGCAGGCAAATAACTATCTAAACGCGTGGTGACGTTCTCTCTGAATGTGGTGCGGGAAAAAAAAACCGTAGGACCCGGACAAAAATCCACGCGACCACGGGGAGAGAGAGAGAGAGAGACACGCAGACTCCAAATATACAGCAGGCATCGTCAGGGTCGGGATCGAACCCAGGACATCCTCCTGTATACCAGGCGAGGTAGTTAACATCTCGCAACCATAGCGCCCATGGCGATGCCTCCTCTGTCCGTCACTCGAGGCCCCATCGGCACCCTCATACGATGACGCAATGCCCCGATCCACAAAACATTAAGGAGACATCGCAGCGATTCACTCCGCTAGCCCTGACGCTTGATCACCTGAACGTGACACTGCAGTGGTAGCGCTGCATCTACATCAGCCATAGGAAAGAAGATGAAGTGTCCACCACTGGCAGTGTCCACCACGAGCAGCGTCCACCACGGGCAGTGTCCACCACGAGCAGTGTCCACCACAGGAGAGAGCTGAGTATATGTGCTGCTTGTACTATAGACACACACACACACACGTCCTGTTTATTGTCGTAGGCGATTTATATCACGATGGCTATCGTTCAGTGATCAGACGCAAGTTGACCCGTGGCTGTAATCCACTTGAACATCGCTTCCTCGTGCAACAGCTTACGACGGTGACCCCCATGACCTCCGAGGTCAAACCCCTTCTCACAAATCTCCGGGAGCATTTGCTCAGCCACCACCACCAACCAACCAACACAAACCACCACCACCAACCACCACCTCCCAGCTAAGGTGATTCTACTGCTGGACAGAGGAGAGGAGACGGAGGAGAAGACGATACCTATCGCGATACGTTTGCGACGCTAAATGAGATCCGTTTCGATTGCCCTAAAAAAACATGCAACGCGGTGTTGCAAAGTCATGAGCGACCCCCCCCCCCCCCAGGAGTAATCGGAGACAAAGAGCTTCATAGCTCATCGGATTCCTCCAGTATACAGCGGTACCTTGACTTTCCCGCACATGACTTTCGTCGTTTCGCACTTTCGGCCGTTTTGTGATGGTGGTAGTGGTGGTGGTGATAGTGGTGGTGGTGATAGTGGTGGTGGTGGTAGTGGTGGTAGAGGTGCTGGTAGTGGTGGTGGTGATAGTGGTGGTGGTGGTAAAGGTGGTGGTAGTGGTGGTGATAGTGGTGGTGGTGGTGATAGTGGTGGTGGTAGTGG